AGAATGTGTCTTGTGTAGCAGAGGATGGCCTTGAATTCGAATTCTCTTGCCTCTCCTTTCTGGGGTCAGGGATTACAGAATACACTACCACATCTGGGTTATGTGGTACCCAGGGCTTTGTGCCTTAAGATGAGCAGTCTATCAGCGGGACTAAATCTCCACTCGCAATGTTAGTCTCTTCTATTTTGCAACCCCAGAAGTAATCAGTGTTTGGGCACACTGGTATTTCTATAATTGGGATTGCTAAACTGCTTTCTAAAGTTTGCGTCTTGTAAGACCTGCTAATAGGGCTGCGGTTGTTCTTTCTCCCACATATACGCCAGTACTGAGTATTCTCACTATTGTAAATCCTTGCCAATCTCATAGACGAGAACACTTCATTCCTTAGACTTTTCCCATTTTGTTATGACCTTGATTCCTCCCCAGTGGCCAGGGCACTGATGCTCTCCAGTCCACACCCAATGCCAGGATGGACTCTGGGGCCACGTGCAGTCCACAGGAGCACTCTGTGCTATGCCTTCAGCCCGATGCTGCTTTTTTGTTTGTTTGGTTTTTGAGACAGGGTTTCTCTGTGTAGCCCTGACTGCCCTGGAACTCACTCTGTAGACCAGGCTGGCCTTGAACTCAGAGATCTGCCTGCCTCTGACTTCCAAGTCCTGAGATTAAAAGTGTGGGCCCCCACTACCAGGCCCTAATGCTGCTTTTAAAGAGAAAACTCATGGCTTCATTTCTGTGCTTTCGACCATAGTTCTGATAACAACACAGAGAAAAGGCTGACGGAACAAGTAGTGAATTCATCGTGAAGCCAGAAAAGCCACTCTAACGTTCCAGGCAAGCCGTGACGAGAGCTTTATTTAGTGCTGGGGGCGTGTGCACAAACAGGAGTGGATGTGGGGCCATAAAATTATGGAAATGAGAAAACTGGTATCAAGAGGCGAAGGCAAGGAAGCCCTAAAGATTGATCTCTGGCATGGACAGTTGAGTGGCTGCTGCAAATTCATGTGGCCATGATGAGCCCTGCCTTCTACTGTGCCTAGGCCTTGCTCCCATCACCACAGTGCTTGGCAGTGAGCTGTGTTTTCTCTTTCCACATTGTTGTGTGAGGTGTGTGTATGTGTATGTGTGTGCATGTAGAAGGTGCAGGACACAGGGCATGTGTGGAAGTCAGAGGACAACCTGTGGGAGTTGATTCTCATCTTCCACCATGTGTGTCCCAGGATCAAATTCAGATGGTCAGGCTAGGCCTTCACCCCTCAGCTACCCCAGAGGCCCCAGTGTTGCCAACTTTGCATGATTTCTACTTCCAAGGGGAGTCTTCAGCCTAGTTCAAGATGCTCCCTCCTTTATAACCTCCCTTGCTTCTGATCCCCACCCCTTCCCCATGACAGCCCTAGTCCCCCACCCCTCTCCGTGATAGCCCTAGTCCCCACTTCCTCCCCATGACAGCCCTAGTTCCCCACCCCTCCCCATGACAGCCCTAGTCCCCACCCCTCCCCATGACAGCCCTAGTCCCCACCCCTCCCCATGACAGCCCTAGTCCCCACCCCTCCCCATGACAGCCCTAGTCCCCATCCCTCCCCATGACAGCCCTAGTCCCCACCCCTCCCCATGACAGACCTAGTCCCCCACCCCTCCCTATGACAGACCTAGTCCCCCACCCCTCCCCATGACAGACCTAGTCCCCACCCCTCCCCATGACAGCCCTAGTCCTCACCCCCTCCCCATGACAGCCCATGTAGCCAGTCCAAAAGCATCATCCAATATGTAGCTGAACTTGGGTCCTCCTTGCTACTCTCTGGAACTGTGCACCGTCATGCCTGGTTTAATCCACTTTTTCTTTAACAGTCATTAATTATGGATTAATAATAATTATTTAGTATTTATTTAGAGTTTTGAATACACCAGGCACAATTCTAGGGGCTGAAAAGAACAACCAGCAAATAAGAACAATAATCTCTCTCCTTTCTTGAAGCCCAGCCTCTCCAGTACTTGCTGTTATTTCTTCGGTCAACATTTTGCTCTCATCATTCCCTGGGATTTTCCTTCAGAAGGTTGACACCGGTTTTAATGATGTCAACCCCGAAAGCCCTTTCTTGGTGTCTTTGACCTCCATGCTGTTGACCTGTCTCTTTCCTTAGCTTCCTTTACCCTGAACACCTCCATCTCTGGTTGTCCTTCTTATAGCCTGAAGTTACTACTTCCTCTTCCTTCCCTGCCTTTCCTTCATTTTCCCAAACACTAGCTCTCAGCTATGCAATGCTAATTTGTATTGCACTTATTTGGGTGTACATATTAATTAGTATACTGCTTTGTTTTCTGAAGTGTGTTTCACGGAACAGATGTGCTTTGGGTCATTTCCAGATGTTATATAAAGCTTCAGAAGGTTCTGTGGCCACATGGTCTTGGGAAATGGGTAAACACTGGGCTTGTCTGTATCAGAACATCTTAGAGAAGCAAAGATGCCAATGAGATTTAAGTACTGCCTTGGAAGAAATGATACAGTCTGGAGAGTAGGCTGTGCCCTGCTCTAAGTTTATGAAACTGACTTTCCAGCTTTACCTGGCTGTCAGGGCTAGTTTATGTCATTTTGACATAAACTAGAGTCATTGGTGAGGAGGGAGCCTCAATAGAGAAAAGGCCTCCTTCAGATCAGGCTGCAGACAAACCTGTACAGCACCTTCTTAATCAGTGGCTGATGGGAAGAGCCCAGTACATTGTGGGCGGGGCCATCCCTGGGCTGGTGGTCCTGAGGTCTATAAGAAAGCAGGCTGAGCAAACCATGAGGAGCAAGTCAGTAAGCAGCACCCCTCCATGGCCTCTGCATCAACTCCTGCCTCCAGGTTCCTGCCCTGTTGGAGTCCCGGTCCTAACTTCCTTTGATGTGAAGTTGTAAACTAAACAAACCCTTTTCTCACCAATTCTCTTTGGATTATGGTGTTTCGTCACAGCAATCGTAATCCTAGCTAGTACACTTACCCCAAGAGACTCCGTTTTACAAAGCACAAGTTGCCTCTGTTTTATCCATAAACGCAAAGTTGAGCAAATCAGTATCTTGTTTGTCACATAGATGCTCCCACCCACAAGGCATGGACAGATGAATTTATTCTGCAAGCAAAAAAGTACCGCCTACATCCTTTCCGAAGGAGATTGTTGACTATGTGGGCACAAGAGTGTGTTAAAGCTGTAACGGAAGGGCTGGGTATAAAACTCGGTTAGCAGACTGGCTGGCTGGCATGTAGGAGTCCCTGGGTTTGATCCTCAGCATCCTACAAAACCGAGTGCAATCCATCATTTGGGAGGGAGAGATGGGAAGATTAGCCAAAGTTCCAGGTCATTCCCAGATACGGAGAGATGAGAGAAGGGGGGGGGGGGGAGGGAGGGAGGGAGATGTAACAGAAAAAAAGGACCCTTTTTCACAGTGCTGGGGATTGAACCTAGGTGACCTTGAGCGTGCAAATGCTATTCCACTGAGCTACAAACCCTGCCTTCAGGCCCGTACACTTACCTAACAAGATAGACCAAGGAAACAGAACGCTCACCTGGAGCCCCAAAGGGAAGAAGACGATGGCCCTACCAACCTGTCAACGGACCAACAGGCAGGGATCTCCCAACGGTCTGGGGTAGGAGGGGGCTTCAGGTCAATGCAGTCTCCACTTCACCTGCTTGATGGGGCCCACACCTGGTATAGACTCCAGCTAATTTGTATGTTGAAGAACTTTTGAAGAACACACTTTAGGAAACATTATATTAGACAAAGAGCTCTCCGAGAGTCGAGACCTTATCATATCTGCTTGTTCGTGTGTTCCCTAGAGGACTCTGGAGAACAGTTCGGTCCCAGAGGTATTTGATACACTTCAGAGTGTAGAGATTGAGCTGGAGGCATTCTAGTACAAGATTAGGGGTCAGGGAAGTGTGAATCGTGTTTAGGAATATCAGTTTGGTTGTGTGATAAGAGAAGAGGAGGAAAACTATGTCAGCAAATTAGATAAGACTCCCGAAAAGGCACAAACTACCTAAGCTACAGAAGACAGCTTCAGTAGACCCACAACAACTGAATAGAACGGATTACTAGTTTAAGACTGGGCATGGTGGGCATGGTGGCGTAAGTCTGTAATCCAGCACTGTGGAGGTAGAGAGACAGGAGGAACATAGACTTGAGGCTAGACTGGGCTGCAAAAAGATTTAAAATTCAGGCTAAGACACATATGTGACCCTCTCTCTTTTTCATATATATATGTGTGTGTGTGTGTGTGTGTTTGTGTGTGTATGTATATAGTGTATGTATATGTATAAAAAATGTTATATGTAAACACACACATATATACATACAAAAATTAAAAAGAAAAACTATTTTTAAACAAAAGCCTAGAAGCTAGAAAGATGGTTCATTGGATAGGAGCACTGGCTATTCTTTCAGGGCCCCCACATGATGGATTACAATCGTTTCTAACTCCATCCCCAGGGGTTCTGTGGGCATGAGGCATACACATGGCATATAGACATACATGTAGGAAAAACACCCATACAGGTAAATTTCTTTATTTATTTAAGACAGGGCTTCTCTGTGTACCCACCCTGGCTGTCCTGGAACTCCATCTGCCTGTCTCTGCCTCCTCCTAGTGCTGGGATTAAAGGCATACGCCGCCACCACCCAGTGATACAATTTTTTTAAAAAAAAAAAAAGAAAGAAAGAAAGAAAGCCTGGGCCTAGATAGCTTCCTAGTTAAATTTAATAAAGTTACAATTAGGCACTCTCCAACATCATGGTGAAGAAATTCATAACCACTGGGTCAGAAGTGGACTGCTGAAGGTCAGGGGAGGACAGAGCTAGGAGGGACAAATGGGAGAGACGTTGCTGGGTCACCTGACCACCTGCATTCCTACACAGGCTAGAACGAAGTTGGTTCTGGATCTGCTGGACATTTGCTGTCTGAGCAGACAAAGACTTTAGTACTGGTGTGTGGTGTGTGTGTGTGTGTGTGTGTGGTGTGTGGTGTGTGTTGTATGTGTGTGGCATGTGTGTGTGGTGTGTATGTGGCATGTGTGTGTGTGGTATGTGTGTGGTGTGTGTGTGTGTGTGTAAGTAAGCCAAAGGCTAGCCTTGGTGTTGTTCCTTGGTATAGAGAACTGGATGAAGGGCCTCAAGCTTGTTACTCACGCACCCTACCTAACATCACCCCCTTCTCTCCTCTCCTCTTTTGCCTTCTTCTTCTTCTTCTCCCTTTTCTTCTTGCTGTGTGGACCAGGCTGGTGTAATCCCCCTGCCTCCTCTTCTCACCTGGGACCACAACTATTCCTGGTCCCCAATCCTTTTCTACTTCATTTTGAGACAGTCTCTTTGTTGACTAGGTTGGCCTTAACCTTGTGATCCTCCTGCCTCAGCCCCCTGAGCAGCTGGAATTATAGGTGTATGATCTAGTCCTTCTGAGCAGAAATGGAGTCTGAGAGAGTTATAAATATAGCAGGTCACCAAATCTCCAGCAAAAGGAACTTAAAATTGTCAGTTTAGAAATTAGCTCCAAGGTGTGTTATACTATGAAACAGGGCTCAGAAAATGGAGTTCCTCACCCTGGCTAAATCGGGCTAAGCTTGCATTCATAATCCTTAGTGAGGAGTCAGAGACATGTGAAGCTCACTTCCAACAACAGCTACAACTGTCACCAATGCCTTAATGCCACAGAATTCCCACAGAGCTCTCTCTCAATAGTTCATTTTTTACCCACAAAAAAGTGTTTACAGCAGCATGGTACAGTCCCTGTTACATCTAGACAATCCGCAGACACCATCGGGCTGTCAACACGTCAAACCAGAACTTCGGATTCTCTGGTGGCAGGCATCCAGTGGGTGACTTCCCTCCGCATTCTTCCCATCTCTTCCTTTATGCTTGAAAACCTTTTACTGCGGAAGGAAGTGTGGGGATGGTTTGCGAATGGGCTTAAGTATCCTATAAACATGTCAGAGCCCCATATTGGGGAGCCATCGGTTGGGGTCCAGCCTTGATGGGGTTCACACGTTCCAGGGTGGAGGACATGAGGATTAGAAACATTAAGCAAGAGGAACATAGACACAGAATAGAACATGGAGGGCCATCCAGTGAATACTGAATTCACCTGCGTTTAACCTCTGTCTATTTTCCATATGACTTATATGCACCATACACCAATCCAAAGGTGGGGGAGAGAAAAGGCTACTTGAACTGACACAAAGGACAAACAGAGCAATTACTTGTTCAATACCTGAAGCATCAAGCAACTATATCCTGAGTTAAGCATTCTGTTGCTTAGGCAGGACAAGCAGCAATCACACTTTAGACCAAGCATGCTGTAGGCAGCCACTCACCTGACAAGGAGCAAAAATATGAGCCAGGTGGTGGTGGTGGTGTAAACTTTTAATCCCAGCACTCGGGAGGGAGAGGCAGATGAAGCTCTGTTCTCTGTGAGTTTGAGGCCAGCCTGGTCTGCAAGAGCTAGTTCCAGGACAGGCTCCAAAGCTACAGAGAAACCCTGTCTCGGGGGGGAGGAGGGGAGGGAAGAAAAAAGGAGCAAGAATAGGCCTAAATTCTCAGAGCTTTGGTCAAGGTGGACTGGACCCACTTCTGTGGGCTCCCACATAAAAATGTCTCAATTGGCAGAATAGCTCAGTGGGTAAAGGTTACAGGTGCTTGCTAACAAGTCTGATGAACTTCATCCCTGGAGCTCTCATGATGGAAGGAGAGAACTGACTTCCACAAGCATCCTCTGATCTCCACAGACATGCCATGGCACGCAGGTAGATACATACACAAAAATAAATACAGGTATCAAGATAACTTTGTGAAGGCTCATGCTCGGTTGGGATGTAGCCCAGTGGTGGAGTGCTTGCCTGGATGCTCCATTTCCTTCCTGACTCCAGTACTTAGCACAGCAAACTAACCTACTAAAAGCGGACCAAACAGGAAAAGAGGCCGTCTGCTCTGTGAGGACACCTGAGAATCCGCACTTACCCATCTGTGAACTGCCTCTCACCAGACACTGCATCGGCCAATACCAGGGTTCTTAGCGTTCCTATCCTCCAGCGCTGTGAGGGAGTAATTTGCTTTTTCTTTTCTATTTTAGTGTGTGTGCATGCAGACGCCTGTGGAGACCGGAAGAGGGCGCTGGATCCCCTGAAACTGGAGTTGCAGAAGGTTGTGAGCTTGCAGACGCCTGTGGAGACCGGAAGAGGGCGCTGGATCCCCTGAAACTGGAGTTGCAGAAGATTGTGAGCTGCTGTGTGGGTGCTAGAAACCAAACTCGGGTCTTCTTAAAATTTAAGTTTTAAAAGCTAGTTGGGAACAAGCCTAAACAAAGGCCAAGCTTTCCAAATTAATTTTTAAAAAAAAGTCTCCGTTTCATTATTGGGGAGCTGGCAGTCCAAAGAAAGACCCATCACAGTTATTACTGATGGCTGTGGAAGGTACCGGGACTGGTGTGCCTGCACATGGAGGTCAGAGGGCAGCTTTCAGATCAGCTCTTTCCTTCTACGGGATCGAGGGTCTGGATCAGGATGCCAGGCTTTAAGGCAAGCACCGTTAGCCTCTAAGCCATCTCGTCCTCTCCCAGCGGAAATCGGCTCGGTGTGGAGAGCAAGCCCTGTAAACCAACTTTAGCGAAACCTAACTCAAACTGCAGCCTGGATGTAACTACAACATGTTAAACATTTATGAATAAAATGAGAGAAATGTTTTAGATCTAAGGTGGGAGGAACAAAGACTTCTAAAGTCAATTCATTAAAGGAAAAAAACATATCAACTGTACTTCATCAAAGCTGAAATGCTACTCTGTAGAAAATGTTGTGAAGTTAGAAAAACAAATTACAGATTGGGAGAAAATATTGTAAACCATATATTACAGAAGAGAATTGTATCTGGAATATATCAAGAATACAAATAAAACCCAATCAGAATCTGAGTAAAAAGACATCCCACTAAAAAGAATATACACACACAAGCAAGTATTGAAAAGAGTTCAGCCTTATCAGTAATTGGGGAAAAGTAAATTAAAGCTACAGCGAGGGTCGGGGAAGATGGCTGAGCTGGTTGGTGAAGGGACTTGTTACCACCAACCCTGATGACTTAAGTTTAATCCACAGGCCCCACACGGTGGAAGGAGAGAGTCCATTCCTGAGTTGTCTCTGACCTCCACACAGGTGTTACCCAATTGCATGTACACACACACATACAAACATGCAATAATAATAATAATATAAATACTAAATGTTTTTAAACTATAGTGGGATACTTCTATACATCAGAATGGCTAAAATAAAAAATAGCGACATTCCGAAACGCTGATAGACAAATCACAGATGGTACAGCAAGGCAAAGTGGGTTATTCGCTCTGAGAAACGGTTTGGCAGTCTCTTGCAAACTGCACGCGCCACTACTGTAGACTGAATTAGTGATTAAGAAAAAAGAACTTCCTGCAAAGAAAACAGTAGGTCCAGATGGTTTCACCACTGAATCCTACCAGACATTTAGAGAGGGATTAGTGGCAAATTTTCACAAATACCTCAGGAAAGGCTTCCCAATTCATGTTTGAAACCAGTACTACCTGATCTGAACATGATCTTTAAACAGCCAAACAGCCTTCAAACAGAAGAGCGCTAACATTTGCTTCCTTGTTTTTGACAAACTTTCAAATAAAATTTAACTTAAAATAAAGCCCTGTAAGTTTTTGCTGAATAGCTTGCAATCACAATGGTTATTGTAATATTTAATATAGTATATTAAACATGGGCTATGTGGCTTTAGTATCTTTTGCATCTCCTATAGCACTGGGTCCAGATAGGTCCCCTAAACACTCGGATTACAGGAATGTGACACCACACCTTGCCTAAGGCTGTTTCTTGTGTGGGTTTTCTGTTTGGCTTTTAGACAGGTCTTGCTACACAGGCCAAGGTGGCCTAAACAGATGCTGACACCAGGCTCCCAAGGGCTGGAGTAAGAAGCGTGCACCTGGACTGCAACTCCTTGAGGAGATTTATCATTAAGGATGCTCAGTCATTCTGTGGGTTCTTAAATTTAAATTTATTTTGTGTGTATGTATATGCCGTGTGCCAGGATGCATTTGTTGAGGCCATCTCATCAGTCTAATATGATTTTTTTTTGAGAGAGAGATAGATGGATAACCAGTGTTCACTCTTCAGCTGGTATCTTAGGAACGATATTACCTTGGCCAACTCACCTCCCATTCTCCAAAGCATGGTTTTTCTCTCTGTACAATGATGACAAAGGAGATTCCACAGCTGCGAAAGTTCCAATAATGTATGGCACGTATCCAGCCTACACTTTTAAAAATTTACCCTTTATTACTAAGTGTGATAAAAATAAATGCCCTAGTTCTAATTTTACATTGTGGTCTCTCAAATAGGAATTTACAAACCCGTCCTTTATGCAGCATTTCCTCAAGCCCTCAGTTGTGGTATCGGAGGCAGAGAAACCATCGGCATCATTTAGCTAACCTGCCGCTCAGAATCTTCACTGGTCAGCTGACAGGCGTTTGACTATGCAGGCCTTCTCTCTGAGCAGCTGCCATCAAAGCGCAAGGACGAGGCTTCGCTGGGAGGAGAATCTAGCCCTGAACTCTAGCAGCTACACATCTCTTCAGCATCTTCCGTTCTTCTGTCATGATGTGCGGAGCTGAAGCTTTGTTTCCCTCGGGTCTCCCAAGTCTGAGGATACTCACCTGGCTTTGCTTTGCCCTCATGGGCGCACACCAGCCAATGAATACACTGGTAATAATAATAATAATAATAATAAATCAAAATGACAGTGGCTTCCCGTCATTTGTTTGAGAACAATATTCGCCGTAGTTTTTTCTCCAGTATCTTTCAGACTCCCGAATAGAACCCTGAAAAATACCAACACCTCCATTTTCTTGTCTGAACTTTCTATTTTCTTGATCTGAAGATTAGGTCGGGTGTCTACTGTGATTAACAAGTAGCCCTTGGAGCGTTGCTTAAAGACAGTTTCAAATTAGTGCAACATAGACGGTGAGTCTATTTTGTGCCGATGAATTAACCTAAAAATGTTTAGTACTATAGTAGCTTGGTGTGACGGTGCACGCCTATGATCCCAGTACTTGGAAGGAGTTCAAAGCCAAGCTGGCATTCATAAGGAGACCAGCTCCAAACCCAACCCAACCCCCCACCCACCCCATTCCAAAGCCAAGAATTTCGTGTTGGCATCCTTGCTCTGAGTTCTTCACGCGTAAGCATTATGTAGCTCTGATACTCGCCTTTCGCCCATCCCGTCACTTCATCAAAGTCGGGCTGGGAAAGAGTTCTTTCAGAACCCACCCACCCATCCCAACAGGTCCACAGCTACGGCAACTCCAGGCCACGACGCCTCCCGGGCTCCGCGGATGCAAGAAACCCGGGTTCTCCGCCCGAGGTGCCAAAGTGTCAGACCTTTCCGAACCTATACCCCCGCAAGGCAGAGAGAAAGCGAGCTTGAGAGCACGCCCAGCGCAGGCGCTCACAGGGCTCGAGGGAGGCGCGGGCGGGGCTTAGAGGGGGCGGGGAGGAGAAAGGGCGGGGCGGTGTGGGCAGGGCTTCAGTCCTTGCTGGGAGAGTTGGGTGTCTAAACCGCCTGACAGCTTCAGTTCCCTTCTCCATAGCCCAGGCTCCTCCTCTACCCTGAATGCTACCTTGCGTGAGTGGCTGGCTCAGACCCTGTGTCAGCGCCCTAAACCCCAGCTGGCCCCTAGTCCTCACTGGGTCAGGTGCTGCGTTGTGCAGGCATGCACTCTGGAAATTTCTACATCCAGAAACTTCCCCCACCGAAATAGTCAGGGACAAAATACGGATATATTTGGGTCATGATAAGTAAAGCATTCCCAGGATCCAACTTTAAAGGTAATTAACTTATTAACCACAAGAAGTTAATTACATTTAGATTTATTTTTGTTTATTTTTGTTATAAAATCAGATTGATTCATAAAGATACATATGGAATGTGACATGTCACATTCTGACGAGTATCAGAATTGCAAAATGCTTAAGCCCGTCTGATCCATGAGCAATAGGAGAGTAGGGGCGAGCATCACTGAGCTCCCGCCACGGTGTTCTTCTTCAGAGGCTATCTCATTTACCAGGTTCGTGAACCATCTTAACTGGATTTTCCCACTTTAGATAAGTTCGCCTTGTGACAGCAACCCCAATGCTAGATCAGAGTTAATAACCAAAAGGGAAATAAGTCTTTCAAGAAAAGAAAAAACTGAAGACAAACAAACAAACAAACAAAGAAAAAACCTTACATTATTGCCTATATAAAGTGTCCATCAGCTGCAAAATGTTTGGTTTAATCTTCCTGGGGAAACCACAACAGTTATGCCTAGACATTCCCTGGAGAAAATAAATGAACGGGAGGAAAACTATAACCAGGATGATAAGTTTAGCAATTTAATAATTACCTGATCGACAGCACAGAAGAGTAGACTATAAAAGCCGCTATACTTCTTTACGTTAAATTGTCAGAAAAGAGCGTTAAAAGATGGCTGAAAAGAGAGAATTCCTTTCATTCAAATAATGAACATCGTAGAAATAAAAATTAAAGAGCCTTCCTATCCCCTGCCCCAAGGGAGCCCAGTGTTATCTTATCAGCATATTGATTCCTCTGGGTTATGCATTTAGAACTGGCTTGTCTCTGGGGAGGGATGTTTGGGATTGAACACAGGGCATCAAGTTTGCTAAGAGACACCATCCATCCAGGCACTGAGACCTTCCGTAACATTGTCACCTGGGCTGGAATGCAGAGAACACTCCTTCTCTTTCATGTCACCTGGGGAAGTTATGATTCTTCATCTCAATTTCCCCTGCTACGATCAATTCAGGTTATATCTGTACCAACTGTCAATGAGAATTTCAAATCTTTAAAAATTATTATCATTATCGCTACTACTACTCTGTGTGTGTGTGTATGTGCATGTGTGTGGATGGTACTCTGTGTGTGTGTGCGTGTGTGGATGGTGCCTGTGTGTGTGCCTGTGCATGTGTGTATGTGTAGATGGTGTGGATGGGCACACTGTCACATATATGTAGATGCGTGTATGGTGCGTATTTGTGTGTGTGTATGTGTGTACACACATGTGTGGATGGTGTGGATGGGCACACTGCCTCACAGTTGTAGGAATCAGAGGATAATCTCGTGGAGTCTCTCCTACCTTTATGTGGGTTCCGGGAATCCAGCTCAGGTCACCAGGTCACACGACCAGTACCGCCCTAGGTCGTCTCACTTGACATTTTAAATGTGAGGGCTTTTTGTGCACAGTAGGAACCTGAAATTTTGTTTGATGTATTTGGTCTGTACATCAAAATTATTACATTTAGTTAGTGTGTGTGTGACAGTCAGAGGGCAGCTTGCCGACTGGTTCCTTCATTCCACTGTGGGCTGTGACTGGGTCTCCTTCCATCGTGTGGGTTCCGGGACTGGATCCAGGGTGTCCTGATGTCTTTATCTGCTGAGCTGTCTCTCTGGTCCTGTTACAGTTACGAATTTTAAGCCTACTTGGTAAGCATTTAACCACATTCTCAAATTTATCTATAAATCTATCAAGTTTATATTAAAATACTTTCATTCTTTGATAAATGCTCAGTGAGCTTACGAATTTACTGCTAAATTTCACATTTACATACTTATATAGTAAGATTTTCTGAAGCATTTCATGTTAGTCAGAATAATGTTATAAAAAAGAAAAAATGCAAAATCAAATTCCTTTTATATTTAAAATTGTTTATAATTTCAGTTATTAAATTTCTCAAAAATATGAAATTCACACATTGTTTTGTATCTGATTGTCTCTGATATTTCACAACCCTGAAAGGTCAGACTAGATCCTGTAATCGTGTGGCCCTAATCATGCCAGCCCCGAATCCTTAGTGTAGTCTTCCAGAGTACCGAACCTGCCTTGGAGTGAGTACCCAGCTCTCACTCGCTGGGACAAAACGCCTGTGAAGACCAACTTGAAAGAACGAGCTCCTTCCGACTCACGATTTCAGAGGTTTCCATCCACGCTCACCGGCATTATCCTCTGGGCCTGTTATAACACAGCACATCATGTAGGAGCCTGTGGCAGGGAGGCCTGCTACCTCATGGCAGCTGGTAAGCAAAGAGGAAGAGAGAGCAAGATGCTGGGAGTGCCAATGTCACCTTCAAGGTCATCCCTCGTTAGGTCACTCATTGTTGTCTATTAGGTTCTTAATCTACCAGCTCTTCATAGCACCAGGTTGAGGACAGGGTCTTCAACACGTGTGCCTTGGGGGATGCTCCAGACTCCGGCTGTAGCAGTGGGCCCCAGCCTGCTGAGTTTTAAGTTCTGTCTCTGCCACTGACCAGCTGTTTCTTTGAGCAGGTTAGGTACTGCTTTGTATTCTGGAAAGGTGTGATAGTGTATCTTTCCCAGAGCTGGGAGCTGTCCCTGGTAGGATATCTCCCAAGCATTGCTAGTCCTCAGCAGCCAGGCTAGCCTAACCAAGCACTTTTCAAAGTTCAGGAAGACTCTGATTGGTCGAATGCTAAGAATTCCAATTAAATATAAAGCATCAAATTTTAAAAATGTGTTAAATTCTTTGAGACATAAAATATCCCGACACACTGCATACAGAATAGCACAGTGTGTGTGTGAGTTTCGTCATTGGATCTTAGTAAGCATGGTGTTCCTTCACGTTATACTAATTTCCTCTTGGTAGCCATTTGGAGTTAGATTCATTTTCCAATCGAGGGCTGTGGGTTTGTTTTGGGGCTGACACTGTGGTGTTATATGCTGTCTTAGTTAGGGGTTTTACAACTGTGAAGAAACACCATGACCAAAAGCAGCCCGCGGAGGAAACGGTTAATTCGACTTCCATATCCTGGATCACAGTTTATTGAAAGAAGCCAAAACAGGAACCCAGACTGGGCAGGAACCTGGAGGCAGGAGCCACGCAGAGGCCATGGAAGGGTGCTGCTCACTGGCTTGCTTCCCACGATTTGCACGGTCTGCTTTCTTTAGAAACCAGGACTGCCAGCCCAGAGACGGCCCCACTCAGAACAGGCAAACCTTTCCCTGTCAGTCACTAATGAAAAGAAAATGCCCTACAAGCCTGCCTACAGTCCAGTCTTAAAGAGCAATTTCTCAAATTAGGCTCCCTCCTCCCAGATGACTCCAGTCTGTGTCAAGTTGACATAAAACTAGCCAGCACCTATGTTCAGGGTCGTCAGTGACTTCAAGGTTACAGAGTTGGGGCTACTAAGCAAAGATTCCCGCTGAAGGCAAGAAGCAACCCAGGAGCATGAATGCCTCTTGGGGTTCAACCTCGGCTGACCCCTGGGAACAGCTGAGGTTTGCCTGCCGTTTAGGCAGAATCCAAAGCCTCTGCTATCCAGCTGTGGTTTATTTTCACAATGAGGGCATCAACCTGTCTCCCCAGGAATCCCTAGGAATCCTGTCGATTTTATCTCTGCCTCATTTGTAGAGACGCCTTTCAAAATGTCCTTATCTGCTGTGAGAGGCTGGAGTTCGGCATCTCTCGCTGGAGAGTTCAGCTAATCTCTGCTTATTTAAAGTTAATTAAATTCTTCGCCTCTTTTGTAGTCTGTTTTCTCATCTAGCTAATAAAAGGATTAGTGACATGGAATTAGGATAAGCCTTCAGTCTTTGGTAGGTCACATGCACATTTAACAGGTGGTAATATTGCCCAATAACTCTCTGGTTTCTTAATGTGCACTGCCGTCAACAGTGTGGAGAGAGGAAAGGAGCCAGGATGGGACCTGGCAAAGCAGATCCACTAGCTAAGGTGGCAAAGCCTGGTGTCCTGAGTGTGATCCCCCATGGCTTGCCTGCTGGAAGGAGGGAG